CAATTAATTGCCCAGCTCTAGTGTGGAACCCCTATGGTGGAACCTACGATCAAGTAAAATGATAAAATCAAATACAAACAGCATAAAAATAAAACAAGCCGGTCCCATCGAGGCGTAATCGGAGACAATGACACACGGGGAAGTGTGCTCCTGATGTCCAGTCTGCTCCGTAGCTTTGTTTTGGTCGCTGTAACCGCAGAAAATCCCGCTTCACAAAGAGTCATGTAAACATTTAAATTCCATTGTGGCACATTGTTGGAATATATTCATGTTTTATATTTGTAAAAAAACAAACAAAAAAAACTATTCAAGCCAGTGCAGTTTGCTTCTGAATGTCAAAGGTTTAGGTTGTATGACTTAATGCCTCTTTGCTGAGGTCTAACTCGATAACTATCATCCTCATGCTTAAAATTTGAGAACATATCAGTCATTGCATTTTGCTGAACACAACTATCATCTAACACGTTAGCATGTAGTTTTATGGTTTGGATTTGGCTTCAGTCTGTTGTCATGACCAGTTAGATATTTTTTACCTGTGATTTCATCTGTGAGGATATTAGACACCCATTAGAGCGTCTGGTAGCTGGGAGGGGGAGGAAAATGAGGTGTTGGAAAAGATGTACAGCCTGTCAAGTGAGAGCAAATCTGCAGCGAGGTTGATCTCCCAATGAATTATTAACAGACACCGTAAATAATCAGTGCAGACAGGTAGGGACCTAGGCTACCTAATGAAGTGTCAGGTGATGTTATGTCCCAGAGGTCATCCTCTTTAAAATAGAAGCTTTAGGTAATGTCATTGTTTCATTTGCACACATGTAGGATTAAACACTATTGCAGCGTCTGTTGCAAACTATTTAAAGAAAGAGAAGAAAAATAAAAAGTTAAATGACTCTTTTCCTTTTTCCACTTTGCAATTATCAAGACTACTTGGTAAACTTGATCAATGCTGCTGCCCCTTTGTGGTCATAGGAGAGTTCTGTTGCTGTTGTTTTCTGTCAGGTAGTTTTGTTTTGTTTGGTATTTTTGTGGCTTAAAAATAAATACTTAATGAATACAATATCTAAAAAAAGTATTCTCCATGTGGAATTTCCAACGTCCACAGTGTACTATATTTGTCGCAATAGGATGTTGTGACTCAAACTTTTTACAAATTACCCAACAGTTGAGTATTTGTAAAAAAGTTGTTGTTTTTTTTAAGTCAAAGCATACTGTATTTAGAAAATAAAGGAATACAACAGACTGCATGTGTTATTTGGAAAACGAAATAGTACGGGGCTCCAAAATTGTGTCTAGAATGAAAATATGGAGGGATGGTTTAATGCAGAAGGTATATGGACTGTTAAACAAACCACCAGTATTGTTTATTTTTTAATTCCTTCATTATCAAGAAAGACACTCACAGTTGGATAATAAAACCAGTAAGTTGCCATGTCTTTCTATAATAACAACAACAGAATCCGCTATGCAAGATCTTAAAAACAAGCTTGATCCTGAACAATAACGATAACAGTTGCTATATGGCAATTTGTAAAAATCAGAATTTATTACTTACCTCAGATGTACAATCAATAAATCATGAAACGTTTATTTTCACTTAATCTGTTGATTTTTTTTTTTCTTCTTCGATGAAATGGTTAATAATTGGATAGTAAAATCAAACCAGGTGAAACTAAAGCTTTTTCACTTGATGACTTCTGGATAGGGTAGATTGACAGACAAAAAAGTTTTTTTTTTTTATATTAAATCCAAAATGTTTATATATTTTTGATATAATTACTGCTCAAAATGTGTTGCTCTGTCATCTAAATTCCGTAAAAATTCAAAAAAATATCCACTGTACTTGGTTTCCAAGATTTGTAGACGTTTCGCCACCTCATTTGAATTGAGAAAGCTTCCTGGAGAGGTGGCGAAACGTCTTCAAATCTTGGAAACCAAGTCCAGTGGATATTTTTTTTTTGAATTTTTACGGAATGACTATGACCTGGATGACTGAGAACCTTCATCAGCATCTGTCATCTAAAGCAGCGGTCCCCAACCTTTTTTGCACCACGGACCGCTGTATGTAGTCAGAGAAAATGACAGATGAAGTGTGCTCCTGATGTCCAGTCTGCTCCGTAGCTTTGTTTTGGTCGCTGTAACTGCAGAAAATCCCGCTTCACAAAGATAGGATGTTATAGATAGGATGAGTCTTGAACTGAATTAACCTGTGTCAAGAGGCACAGATGCACCGACTGATGTAATTGGGAGAGAATACCGCAATTTTTTATATTTTTCAAAATAAAACATCACTCAGTCTCTGATCGTTGATAAATTATATATATATATATATATATATATATATATATATATATATATATATATATATATATATATATATAATATACTTTTTTCTGTGCTGCCCGGTACCGGTCCGCGGCCCGGTGGTTGGGGACCGCTGATCTAAAGGCACCATCTCTATACTCCAGTTAAAGGTATAGTGGAGGACGTTCTTTTTCCAGGTGGATCATCTCAATAAGTGGTCCTCCTAATTGTCAATCATTCTGGCGTTATGTTTACATAAGGCCGTCTTACGTGCTCGTCCTCAGTTAGTTATCTTTTTGTGCGCGTGCACACTTTCCGGCGTATATGTATAAGCAACGGTTTCAGACAGTCATTGAAGCTCACTTTTCTCACCGCTGTTCTTTGAAAATGGCCGAGGGTCGTAAGAGAAAAAGTGTCTACGAAGTGTAGGAGAAGAGAAGAAAAAAGCACAGGTTGGGCTTCCAACTGATGCCTCGGTTTCAAAGTTTCTACTGGACAGGTAAAGTTTGGCATGCTATTTGGAGAAATCGTTATCACATCACTGCTAGTAAAAACGACGAGAAATGGGCTTGTGCATGCTCTTGCACACTTTTAATATGCGTTCTGTCTCGGGAGCCGGGACAAGGTTGTGCATGCGCATTTTTTAAGTGTAGTGGGCGTGTCTTTTCATAAATTTGCAAAAATCCTCTAGTATAACTTTAACAGTTAATCAATTACTAAATTACTTGACTATATTTCAATAATCAATTAATCACAATTAATCCGATAAATTGTTTCGGTCCTAATCACTAGCGCTCTCCGAATCTCTATAACTATCATTGACCAAACACCATCACCCTGTCATGGAAGTATTGCTGATGGTGTAAGGCAGACTTCTCCAAGGTGTAAACTCGTATTTAATGTGGTTCAGTGCTCTAGAAAAGTGAATATGTTTTGGTGATTCTTGATTTATTTAAATATCTGTGTTTTATTAAATGTTTCTGGGCTGGATGTTCAGTACATTTACTTCAGTTAGAGTCAAACACAGAAGTTTCTTGTTTTGTTAAAAGTATGATCAAAGAATGAATAAATGTGTTTTGAAAAAAACTAATATCAAGATATCTTAGACAAGTAAAGTTTAAGTTTTACAAGGAAACAAAATCTAATGAGGGAAAATCAGGTTTGTAGATGGTGCCAAAATGTGTGAAACTGTGCCAAAAGGATTTACCTCAGCTGCAGGAGTATTGGCACAGGCTGTCCACAGGGGTTTCCAAAAGTTTGTCCCTTTATTTATATTTTTAAAAGGTTTATATACTGTATAATGCAAATAAAGTCTGGCAAGGGGAAAAAAAGGTCTTATTTTTCTATGAGCTATCCTCATTTTCTGGATCTCTCAAGTATTGGCTTTATTTTGATACCAATACTATATAAATACAATTGTGACTGCTGAAGAAACCTTGATTATATTTAGGCCTGATATTTTGAGCAAAACCTCCAGGAGAATCTATTTGCGATTGAGAGGTTAAACGAAATTTAGAAAGCTTGCCACATCCTATTTACCTTTTGGTTTAGGAAAGTGTTTTTGAATTGAATAGAGTTAAATGTGGACCTCTATTGTTTCAGCATATGAGAAAGAATAAGAGCAAAACTTTAGAGAAGCTTGTCATGGTGTCTTTTGGGTGAAACATTGAGTTTTTCTGAGCTAAATGAAAACAAAAAGCACAAAACCTTCATTCTTTACGTCAAGGACATTTGAGTAATCGAGTATCTAGAAATCTCTTTTGTGTAACAAGCATCGTTCCAACTCTTGCTTGCTAACAGCCCTATTATTAACTAGTACATAAACGGATTCCTAAGCAAATCCACACACAAGTGCACCCATGTGAGATATTTACGTGACCGCTGTATGCAATGGCGATGTGCCATTTTGGCGTCTTTGTCTCCATGCAAAGGTGAGCAGCTTTCGTAAGTTGACACCTACTTCTTCATATGACATGTCATGTGGAGGAGGTCTTTTTGCATGTTTGTAAATATCACTGTTGCTCTGTAAACGCCAGTCTGGCAGCAGGCGGTAACCAGAGCCCACAGGGAGCTGATGCTGTGTGTAAATTAAACGGGCCCTCCATACATTCTCCTCCTTTTCTCAATTTGCTGTGGTTGCGCATTCTCCCTCATGAGGTTTTGCCTCATAAAAGTGAAAAGCTCTGCTTTTGATTTGTGTCGTAGTAAGTTGGTGGAAGTTGAGCTGTTAATGTGTGGTTAAAGTTTCTTACAGTTAAGTGCAAGACGCCTGATCAAGCTTTACTACTTTGCTGCAAGGATCACAGAGCTTAGGAGATCCAGAACCCACTCATGATGGATGTCTGATCTGGAGGTTATGGCTCCGTCGTGTCCTTTGAGGGTCTTTGCCAAGACCACTTCCAATAATCTCTGACATTAATATTTTCACTTTGGAGGTAGTGGAGGAGAAGGGGGGGCAATGTAAGCAAGATTTTTTTTGGCTGGTCTTGTTTTATGTTGGCAGTGGTGAAAGACACCAAAGCCATTACTCATTGTACTGGCATGCCCAGAATGTATTCTTAGCTCCTGTCTTCCTATTAGTCTCTACAGAAAGGTTGGAGGGTCAAAAAATAAAGAGGTAACCAGTCTGAGGGGCTGTCTGCGCTGCTGCTGTTTACCAGGGAGGGGGTGATATTTTAGACCTCCGAGAGCTTGCATATTTACCCCACTGAGTCTGACTGACCTTGCCATTTGGTGGTGTGCAGAAGCTAAAACCACTAACCGTGACGAGAAGAGGCAAAGGAAGGAGCGGTCTGCTTACTTCTTGATAAGCAAGTAGCTTTTCAAGATAACAAGACTCCAGAAACCAATATTATTTAAACAGAAAAAGACTGAGCTAAGTAGGTTTAAGGAGGAAGGCAGGGGTAGGGGGAGCCGCGGCCGTCGGAGGTGAGAGGCAGCCACACTGAGCTGATTTTTCCTCCTGAGGAGGAGTTGCAGTTGCCGGCCAGGGCAGGTCCCGGTGCTGGCAGGGCTGGCCCTACTGCTTCTCCACCTCCATTCCTTTTCCCCCTCTCACTCCTCCTCCATCTAACTATCAACCAAAGCTGCTGAGCAGTGATGAAATTGCAAGCACAGCTCCTAAGCACTAAAGGAATGCTTAGAAAATCTTGAAAATTTAACTTTTCTGCCTCTAGTAAGAGGAAACTTCACTGCTGGAAAGACTCTCACCTTCTGTCTTCTCCGTTTCGTTGCACTCACTGGCTGAGTGCACGGAGAAAGAAAAGTTTTTTGTAAATATTTCTTTTCCTTTTTTTTTTTGATAACCGGAACAGTGGCAACGTTTTCAGTAGCACGGTGCAAGGACCAGCTCCACTCACCCAAGATGAGCCGCTGGCTGAAATGCACCTCCATGCACTTTGTATGTATTCTGTTTTTACGGTTTTGTCTGTTTAAGTCACAACCAAATATTTTACAGGTAGAAATGTTCATGACCATATATAAAGTCTGACCATGTAGTAGAAAACGAAAGGATGTATTTAAGGTATTTTGATGAAAGTTTTTGTTTCTACACTCTTACAAGTTCTCTGTGATTGTACTGGGCTATGTTCTTTATTTAGATCATGTTGTTGTTTTCTGTGGAGGAGGGCTCTGTTCCCATGTTTTGTAGCTGTCACTCATGCGGTGATGTGATTTAGTGCTGATTTCGTGGGATTGCTGTACTTCACATTCCTTGCATGTTCCTGCAATAACTTCTGTCCCAAACTATTGTTGTGGAAGAGTATCAGTCTGACTCAGCCATTGTTTTATGTTTGTCTGGAAAACCTCTGCAAAAAATTTTTTTTATGTCGGTCCCCCCCAAAATAAATATAAGACTGATCCATTTTCCTGTAAATCCACGAAGCCACAAGGGTCTTCTTCCATATATGGCAGCAGATATTCTTACATGTTCAGTCAAGTCTCTGTGGAAAATACACATTCAGTTTCTGTCAGTTCTGATGGTTTATCTTGTTGATGGCAGAACACAGACTGGAACAAGTACGATGATCGGTTGATGAAGGCTGTGGAACGTGGCGAGGCGGACAAAGTCGCTGCGGTTCTCGGCAAGAAGGGCATCATTCCCACCAAGCTCGACGTGGAGGGACGCTCTGCGTGAGTAAACCAGGACAAACATAAATATGCTGACATTAAAAGTTTGACATCTGCAGTTTTTTTTTTCTTTTGGAATGTACCAACTTAAACATGGAAAAAATGCCCTAAGAACCTTAAAGCTTCTTATAAAAACTAATTAAAAATTAGAAGACGCATTGCTAAGACATTGCAGTGCTCTTTGCACCACAAAGGCATCCATGACATTCCATGTCCTTTCCCCCAGATAAGGGATCTAGCCTGGAGATTACTCCATGATTGGCTGACCAGTTTTATCACTCACCTCCTTGAAACATGCAACATTTGATAAAAGCTTCATCCAGCTGCCCTTCAAAGAACAGATATTCCAGTTATATATTTGGATGTCTGTTTTCTTTCAGCTGTTTCCCTCTTTTCCTCTCCAGCCTTCTTGAGGTCAGTGTGGGAGTTGGCATCGAGAATGTTTGTGGACACTGAAAGCTTGACCACACGGACCACAGGCTGTTTATGTAGTCCCTGCAGGAAATGACTCCCTTCCAAGTCAGATCAGATGCGTTAAGTTGTTCCCAACAATAACTAATCTATTTAGGCTCAGCGGCTGAAATTATTGGGTTCAGCTGACCTCTTGGAGAACCATGTTGGAGCTTTTTTCAGTTGGAATCAAAGTTGGCTTTATTGAACTAACAAATACCCAGATATTTAGGTATTTTGCTGCTAAGCTGGAATCATAAGATTGGTTGAAGTAAGAGAAGTTCAGAGTGAAGGACTAACACACAAGTAAGGCCTCATTAACCAGAGAACCAGATCAGTGAAGCAAAGGGTCATGTTGAATTTACTAGTGAGAGTAAAGAAGCCATCATCATGTATAGTGGATGCATCTTGATAAACATTAGTCTACATAATATCTGCTTTTGACAAGTTGTTGAAAATAGGCGGAACTATATTCATTCCAGACTGTGGTTGACCAGACTAGAATCTGTTGGACCCAAACAGTTAGTCATTATTTGCTGTTTAGACTGCTCTGAACTAGTCTACCAAACAATCTACTTACAGGAACTTAGTGTTATAAAAAAGAGGTCAAACTTTTACCAGTGCTGTCCAAAATACAAAAAAAAACAAGCCATAATCACAGCTCTGACGGTCTGTTTATAGTTTGACCAGGGCCACACACACACCACATATGTCTATGGCATCCCGGCCGACATTGGAATGTTGAATGGTGAATCCCTGTAATCACGAACCTCTGTGGAGAAACTAATTACAAACTGTTACCCCCTGTACTTGATCTGCTTCGCCCCGGATTAGCCTCACTTTGTTCAGCTAATGAATTCAGCACAAGTGCTTCTGACTGGAGCTCCAGCTGAGTAAACAGTTTACATCTTTCCTCTGGCATCAGCTGGGTCCCAGTGAGGCAGGCCCACCCATAACCTTTACTTACTCCTTGTATAACCTTTACTTACTCTGTGCCGTTGTGCCACGTAAGGGTCCATCAGCAAAGCCAGTCTGAATGATTGCACACTGGCCCCTAGAGGAGACCTTAATGATTCTGTTCACCGTTTGTATTCCTATGTTAAAATGTATATTTAGAAATTAATCTGATCAAATGCAGGTTCTCAAATCATACAATTATCCCTATATTGTTTTTAAAAATAACAATTTTCTGATCACTTAAAATAGTTCTTGCCAATTTTTTTTCAGGTAAATATTACCCAATCTTTGCTAATTTATCATAGAAAATCCTGCTGCTGTTATTATAAGGAATCACTGCAAAATATCCTGAATCTGATCAATCAAATTTTAAACATCTGTCCCGTTTATATGCCTTTTATAGGGCTGAGTGATATGCAATTAAAATCTTGTCCAGATATTAGCGATACTATCATGATAACAATAAAAGTAACGCTAAAAAAAAAAAAAAAAAAAAAAAAAAAAAACTTTACATCTTCGCAGTCTTTCTTATGTAACTGTATGGCTCCACTGCTTACCACAGCCATAATAGCCCTACAATCTCAAGTCATACTCTGAAGAACATACACATTGAAATTTGGCTTCTTCAGGACACCAGTTACATAAAGAAGGATGATTTATATCACTTAACAGCTCATATTAACCGTATCATATTTTTTCAAATCCCAATAAAAAAATAATAAAAGGGCAAAAAGGAAAACTACAAATAAAAAATTTGACAACTTGCCCAGTTTGTAGAGTTTTTATTCATCATTGAGTCTAATATAAGATGTAGACGATTTTCAAAATTCTTGTCATGACCAAGAACTGATAACAACAATAAACAATACGATAAATGTTCACCCTTAGCTTTTGGCTTCTGTGAGCTAAATGGTTTGGCAGTACGGCTATAGAAAAAAATGCTTCAAAACACTTTGAAATTAGAAAGCTACTAGCTGAAGCTATTAGAAAAAAGGCCGCTATTAAAGGAATAGTGAAGGATTTTCACAATTTTTTTTAATGCTTTTTAAAAAGAAAATTCATGTGCAAAACCCTGTACTCGATGGCATGGGTTAAATGCAGAGAGTGAATTTCTCCATTGTGGGACAATAAAGGATTAAGGATTTATTAAACGTGTGCAAGAGCGTGCACAAGCCCCTTTTACTCGTGCATGCTCGGTTTAAAAGTTGCTGCTTGCGTCGCTCATACAAACTTTCTAAAAGAAGATTTGCAATTTTTCCGCTATGTCAGACTCATCACGATAAGTGAAAATGGGGACGAGCACAAAGGATGGACTTACGTAAACATATCACCAGAATGATTGACAGTTAGGAGGACCACTTATTTTGATGATCCACCCAGAAAAAGAACATCCTCCATTATACCTTTAACCGTTAAAGTCCCAGATTACATGACTTCTAGCACATAAGTGTGTAAAGAAAAACCACTCAAGCTAAGCAGCCATCACAAACTGCATCTTTTAAAGGTATTTTAAAAAGTTTTCTGGACAAAAACAGTCTAGATGTTAATACAGCTGTTAAGCATCAGAAAACTGCTAAGGCATTTCTAAATGATCACAGCTGCTAATTAACCAAAGACTTTAGATACAGTACATACCCATCAGAAATGGTTCAACCACTTCAACCATATAGTCTATAGGTCCCTCTTCTCTTTCCTTTAAAAATAGCAGGCAGATCCTTTAGAGGGTGAAGATGAAATGACATCTCTACTCTCTGAAAGGCACATTTCTAAGCATGTTATGAATCTTCTTGGGAGCTATTTGCTTTGTTACAGCGTAACCTGAGAAAACTGATTTTGGAGTGACCAGCTGCAAAGGTCTGAAGCACCAGCAGAGGAAGCGAGATTCTGTTCAATTCAGTTTATTTACATAGTGCCAATTAACAACACATGTCATCTCAAGGCACTTTACGGAGATTCAGCTGAAAGTATTCGCTTTGAAAAATCCTCCATATGAATTTCTTTTTCTTAATACTTCCTGATTTAACATCAGACAATTCTTCAAAAAAAAAGGACATATTTGGGAGTTAAAATATTTCGGAGATCATTTTTTAACATCCTAATATTTTGCATGTGCAGTCACATCCTGCTGACTCATCATAATTGAACATTACTACAAAAAATGCACCTCCTTGATTATTGATTTCCCCTGAAATGTTACAATGTAACAGTGGTTGATTTAGGTATTATATGAAACATGCTTTAGCTGTTGAACTTGTCACATGTGTTCACCAAACATGCTTTGCTCTGGTCTGCTTCCTGTCTGCTTTCTGCTCCTGTGGGGTCGTGACCCTCCACTGCTCCAGAGAGGAGCAGCATCTCCTCGCCATCAACACGGCTTTTAATATCCACGCCAGTGTTGAGGTGACAGCCTAGCTGTCTCCTTGGCAGATACTTCTGGCCTGGTGTATAAAGGGCTTCATGTGGCGCGAGGGGTAACAGGCCGAGATTAGTTTACATACAGTGGCTTTGCAGCCCTTCATTGCTAGTAGCAGCAGACTGACTGTGGATTACATCAATGAATTTCAACTGGGATCTTTCAGGTTAGGGTTGATTATCTGAGATGTGTTGTGAAACCAACAAACTTACAAGGTTATTTTCAAGGCAGAGCTGCTCCTAAATATGTAAAACATGTATCATTTCAAAGCTTTAGTCTGTTGTTACACAGAAAATGAAGCATTATGAATTTTTTTAGCCCACTTCCACCATACATTCTTGACCTGAATACTCCATAAATAGCATGGTTTTGTTTTTCCATTTAAAAGAGCTCCCCTAAACTTAACGCATCATATTATCTTCTGATTGGTTGTCATGGAGGGTTCTTGTTGTGTACCTCAAGAATGTTGATCTTGCTGTCAGTATGGAGCCAGGTCTCCATTTTCAGTTAGTCCTTAAGTTTCACCCTCCTCCTTCTTTCCTTTTTCACTTGCCTGTCCTAAATCTCTTCTGTCTCCTCACTGCCATATCCATCTCATATTTGTTTTTCCTGTCATATCTTCTGCAATTTATGCACACCCCCAGGTTTCATTTGGCAGCCACTCGGGGACAGCTTGAATGTCTCAATCTCATGCTGGGACACAATGTTGACATCACTGCAAAAGATGCCTCTGGTAAGTTTTGTTTAGCAAACACTATGTAACCCCTCAAGCGGGACATAACATGTTCAGCTAATGTATAGTTGCAGTAAAAATGTTGTTTAGGTTACTATTAGTGTTTATACTTTAGCCCAAACACTAATAAAGAGTCCTGCAGGCTGGCTCTCTGCTCTGGACTACAGTAATGTTTATATTGAATGCACCGTATAAAAAACTTTGAATGTTATCGTTGCAAAACAAAGGAATTGTTTGAAGCTAGGGCTTCCACACTTTATAGCCTGTGGTCAAAAAAATAACATCAGACTGGAGACCCCCTGATACAAAGAACTTTTCAATGCATTTTAATAATTTTATTTAAAATTTAATTATTCATTAGGGCATTTAACAATTAAATGTATTATTGTGTTTAAACCATGTCTTAAATGCATAAATGTTTTATTTCCCTATTTCATATTGGTTGTGTTCATTTCATGGGGAATTCACACTTATTTCATTACTTGTTCACATTTATTTATTGCTATATTTTGTCCCTCTGAAAATCATCTCTGCAAAATTTCCAATCAGCAATCTCTCTTTGTTTGTAAAAAGATGAAGTAGCATCCAAATGCTTTATTAATCATTGAGTAGTAATGATAGTTTGAGATTTGAGTAACATAACAACCTAGTTCACCTAGTCTTGTTGTTGAGGAGCATTCTAACATTGGGCTCTATGAATTTGAAAGGAACTTCCATTCAATATGGATTCTAATTAGACTTGTTCCAACTGCCTCCATTAGGTAAAAACGCTCTTCATCTGGCCTCTAAGTACGGGAATTCTCAGTGTGTGCAGAAACTCCTGCAGGTAAAGTGCATTTTTATTATTTATTTACCTATTAGAGAACAAAAGAAATACTGTTCATTATGCATCTGTACTCTTTCCTATCCATGCACACATGCTGTTTGTCTACATGCTGCTGTATTTTTGCTCCAGTCGGCGGTCAGTCAGAGCAGTTGTTCCTTGAATAATTATTGCCAAACTACTCTGGCCACTGATCCCGCTCCATATCAGTCAACAATGGGCCCTGTTGAGTCACCATGCCCCTCTGGGGGTTTATGTGTTTACAATGCGAGGGATTTCACTCCGACATTGTGTTCTCATATAGTTGAAGACCTTTCCCCAGCCTTCATCTCTTACATGGCAATGATCTAATGGAGGTTGTGGCTGCTGGCAGGGGATCGTCAGCCGTGTTGACAAGCTCACCCTCCCACTCTCCCTCATCCATTCTTAGTGCCGTCATCACACCTCCCCCCTGGCAGCATGATGCCAGCTCCCACTGCCTCCCTTATCTAGCTCAGTCAGCGCCAACCCTCCAGGTATAGGATATCCCCCCTCCCCTTGACTCATCACCATTAGGCCCCATTGGCAGCCCTCCCTCACTGCGAGATCATTTGAGCTTGTAGATAATTTTTGCCACTTGTTGCTAGAGAGAGATGGGTTATTATCGGGAGGAAGGGTGAGCAGAAGGTGCCGGCAAGCTTACCCAGCAACATCAGGCCCCTGTTAGCATAGAGTTCTCGAGGCTTTCATCACAGCCCCTCATCGGTGCAGTAGTGCAGCCACTGGTGTACGACCAGCTGAGTGAGAGTTCAGACACATCACAAGCATTTCAGCACATCACCATCCTCTATGATGGAAACTGCCTGCTGCTACTGATGAGACGTCATGACCGGCCAACGGCTGTCTTCTTTACTCTCAGTTTGAACATTTAAGCAAACAATCCCTTTAATCATTGTATTATCTATATTTCACAATCGACTTCAGATCGAATTATGTGATCCAGTAAACTGGATTATATAGTTGGAAAAAAGTTGTACATGCTGTAGTTTATAGGCATGTTTAAATTGCGTCATATGCATACTGTATTATGCACATGCATGTACATGCAAAACTGGACCTTCCCCTTTACTGAAAACATACATTGAAAAAAAATTTACTATAACTGAGACAATTTTTCTTGAAATAAGTGTATTTTCCTTTCATTTGAATTAAATTTAGTTTATTTATATAGCGCCAATTCACAACACGTTATCGCAAGGCACCTTACAGTTCACTAGATCATAGGCAGATTGCTTCAGTTTTCTATCTAAGGAAAACCAGTTGATTGCATCGACTCCTTGACTCAAAGGCAATCCCTCACACTAAGCATGCTTGTAGCGATAGTGGAGAGGAAAAACTTCCATTTAACAGGAAGAAACCTCAGTGTGAGCGGCCATCTGCTGAGGCCGACTGGGGTTCGAGGAAACATAAGCAGATATACGGAAAAAAGCAGAGATATAAAGAGAGCACATCCACCCAGTCACAGTCAGAGAAACAGGACAACAATGAAAAACAGGCCAAGCTCCAACATCTATAAACGAAGGTGTTGATGGCAGCAGCACAGCTGATATGAGCAGCTAGGTTAGACAATTTTCCAATGGAATAAGGCTTTAATTTTTTAAATGACAAAAAAATTTTTATATCCAGTTATCTTATTTTTAATAGCAAAAATCTTTGTTTTGGTAGATTATCTTATTTACCTGCTCAAACTAAGTGCAGTTATTTTGTGCAGTTTAATACTAAATTAATTTCTCATGTGGATATGCGATTACAGAAAAGACGGCAATTGATTCGTCCAATTATTTAGAAGTAGGAGTCAGCTTTAAGCTTCAGTAATACTAAGACAGGATCACAGTTTTAACCTGTTATATCAAGAGTCCGTAACCTTGGCTTTGTGGTTCACTCTACATACTAAATTATGCACTCTTGCCCAGTTTTTGTTTGTGATTCTTCAGTCCTTTTCTTTCTTAAAACAACTCTGGTCTACCCTGGTCAATTTAACTGGGCATGCATAGCCTTAGTTAAAATTAACCCGACAAAGGAAAAGGCATAGACTAAGGCTAAACAATCACTGAGTGTGTATTTGTATTTTGCATACATGTCTGTTTTATTTGAATAAAAATAATCTTTTATAAGCAGCTGCTATGAGAAATCGTTTGGCTGGATATGGCTGTTGAATTCAATTAAGCCTCTTTTAATTTACCTGATTTTTTACAGCTCCATTTACAACTAATACTGTGCCAAGGCCCCTACACCTCCAACAATCTTCTTTATTGATAGAAATATCGAAACTATTTAATCCGATAAAAGACCAGTCTCAAAGTCGGTTACACACATTCAAATTTGATCAAAGTTTAAAAATGAAAAACAAAATGAAAAAAATTCATTCAAGTTCATCTTCTTTGGAAAAACTTTCTATCTAGTGAAACTTGGCTGCTTGAGTCACAGACTTTGCAGCAATCCTTTATTCTATATAGAGGTATAAAATGGAGGTGTTCCTTCTTATATTGAGCAAACCTTTTTTCATGTATTTTTCTGATTTTGTCCTAAAACCAGTGGTTAATGGATAAATTAAACTTTTAACTTCCTGGATCCACAATCTGACTTTGTTTGGTTAACTCATTAAGATGGGCTACCATGAAAGTTAAGAATACAAAATATTCAGAAGGTGTTTTTATTTTCTTGTAGCACAACTGTCCTGTTGGAAACGTGGACCTACAAGGACGAACTGCTCTGCATGATGCTGGTAAGGCTCCTCTGTTGGTGGCTGAGCTCTGCTTTACAGAACACTCTAGCTAACATGGCTTCATTCAGCACAGTTATAGATAATTTAAACCTGACTTCATACCACTCCTGCTGGGACTTGACTCTACCATAAACCTGTATCATTTGGAAGTCACCCCTGGATTTAACAAATGACTACTTCCTACTTTCTTAAGTACAGCCTTTTTTCTTCTAGAGATATTTTCTTTCTAGGTCTGAAATGTTCTAAAAAATAAATACAATCTAATAGTTTAAATTTCACAAAAAAGTGACTTGGCTAAATACAATGAGCTGTTTGTTTATCAAGAAAAACTTTATAGAAACTAACCCTTGTACCCCATTCTTAGATCTATGAATTAAATGTGAATAACCACTTCTTTAGGCTTAGTCTCAATCAGACCTGATTATTGCTGGATCACACTTTAAAGAATTTACATTTATTCAACCCACCCTGATAACCTGAAGATCTTAAAAAGCAAAACGGTCCAGGAAGTCTACCTCTGAATAATGTAAAGAAATGAAGATTAAACGGCGTAGCAGCGGTTTGGACTTGCACACAGTTGAGATATTTCATCAGTAGAGCTCTGTAAGGAGACGGGCTGTTTTTAATGGCAATGAACCTTAGCTCCTTTTACTATCCTTCCGAGTTTAATTTACTCCACTCTGTCCTTTTTAGAGGTACACTCTCAAAGACCCAGACCCCTCCTGTTGTAGAATAACATCACAAGGACTTTCACATGCTTCTTTGCTTTTAATATATGCCACATCAAATCAGTTGTTCTAGATTCCTACAGGCCTCTCTGGGCTCTAGGCCCACTGACTGCAGCCTGAGCTAAGTGGATCAGAATGTACCTCTTCATGTTAAATGGAGCAACATAATTGTAGGTGTGCTGCTTTTTTATCTCCACAGTCATGGCGGGCTGCACCTCCAGCGTGAAACTTCTTTGTGATAAAGGGGCTTCTGTGAACACTGCTGATTTTGTAAGAATTATTTCTACCATTAATTTCATATATAATAAGTTAAGGCTTGTTTCTGAAAGTAGAAAAGTTATTTTTTTATATTTTGTTCTGAAATTTTTTTTTTTTTTTTGCCTTGACAGTGGCAATAAAATCCAAGGCAATCTGAGCAATAGTATATACTTTTTTCTTTGTAAATGACTTGAATGAAAGATATAGCTTTTTGTTTACATATGTAAAAGTCTGTTGTTTTTGTTAGGATGGCAAGACTCCTCTGATACTGGCCACACAGATGTGTCATCCGCAAATATGTGAGCTGCTGCTGGATCGAGGGGCTGATATCACTGTCAGAGACAAACTGAACAAGTAAGTTCCTTCTCCCCCTCTGGCTGTTTGTCTTACATAAGACTGTCCACTGTTGCCTTTGATCACTTTTAATCCAAGCTCTGGACAAAAAGCTGATTTGACCATAGAATGCAGCTTGATAAGTTGGATTTCCCACTGAAGCGTTGTTTCTGTAACATTGCAATATTTTTCATTTGCAACATAGTACACTGTAAAAATTATCTCAAAAAGAGTAAAAATGTCTTAAATTAAGGGTATTTACCCTTAATTTGAGCAGGTAAATAAGATGAATTGCCAATTGAATGAGTATTTTTACTCTTAAAATAAGGTATCAAGATATTATAAGACAATAAATAAGACGATGCAATTGTTTTTTCTTATTTTAAGTGTAAATTGTCTTGTTCCATTGGCAAAGTGTCACACTTAAATCCTTAATTCAAGAAAAAATGCACTTATTTTAAGAAAAAATGACTTATTTAGATTAAATTTTTTAGCAGTGTTGCTTGTGTCAGAGTGCAGGTCGTTAATACCGCTAGATGTAGAGCATGTTCATTTTGTTACATCTAGATATTTCATCAAATTACTCGACTAAATACTTATTAAACCTGATAGGGGATTAAAGAAAGCTGTTATTTTTTTGTTTAGTGTTTGAAAGACCTGGTCATCTGTGTGTAAAGCTAGCTTGGACATGCTCTGACCCAGAACCTGTCTGTTGGCTCCCTAAGGACCGCTCTGATTCTGGGCTGCGAGTTTGGCTGCAAAGACGCCGTGGAGGTGTTATTGAGGACTGGAATCGATGTGAAAGCAGTCGACAACATGGGTCATGATGCTTTTCACTACGCTCGTCTCAGCAACAACCAAGAGCTCGTCGCACTGGTCAAAAGCCACCTTGATAAGGCCACCAGAGGTCAGAGGCTTTGTCTTTAATTAATGTAGGAGGATGTGTCATCATGACTTACAGTCTTTTAAAAATCTTTACATTGATTTCTGTCTGCTGCATTCCCTTTAAACTTTTGTTGTAAAAAAAAAAAAAAAAAGAGAAAGTAAGAACTTCTTTGGTATTGTTGCAGAAAAAGAGGCGGCAAAGATCGAACAGTGGAGGCGGCAGGTAATCCAGCTGGATTCACTCACATCATCAATCTACCTCTTGTTAAAATAATGCATTCATTCTCTCTTAATCCAGCTTAAGTTTGTCCTTCTATTTCTAAAATATTAATATAAGCTGTGTCTATTATCCTACATTACTTGTGAGTTGATCATGACTGCCCTCTAGTGATCAAATGCAAGAATAAGTTAAAGTTTGTGGGTTTTTTTTTTTTTTTTTTTTTTTCAGCTTTCAGTGGAGAGATCGGAGGCAGCCGAGTCCATCAGGAAGGATCAGATCATATATGTAAGAGCAGGAGGACATTAACACATGTTTTCATTTTGGTTTGGACCCGATGCTCTAAAGCTTACATGACTAAAACCGTTTTCTATCGACGGTTTATCGATGTCCATAATGAAGTGTTAAATCTGCTTTTGTGTTTCCCCCTTTAGGATCTGGAAAGGCAGAATGAGGCCCTTCAGGACGGCCTAAGGAAGTACCACCAGGAGCAGATAGTCCTGGTAGATAAGGTCAACCTGCTGCAACAACAGCTCACACAGGTATGCTGGATTTATGGATTGTATTAGGTTTTTTATTATGTTTGCTTCTTTTTTTCCCTAGTAAAAATTAGGAGCTCAGTGACAATAAGGCTCATGTAAATTATTATAGATGACTGTACATAGTAAAGATATATTAATGCATGAATCTACAGCAACGTAAAACAATTATCTATCTGCAGGAAAAGATGGCTGTGGAAGACTCTCAAAAAGAGGTAAGAGCATTTTAGGAAAGTCTATGAAGCTTTCTTTAAATGTTTTTACTTTTGCTGAGAAACCACATTGAATAAAAATGAGCTTACAGTCCTCCGAAATATAGAAAGTACTTATTTTCCAGTAGACTGGGGACTAGCTGCTAGATTTTATCTCTGCTTTAAGGACCACCAGAGGGTCCATTTTGTCCATAAAGAACCACAAGGGAAATGGATCCTGCTGGGACTCGGAGACAAACGTTTATAATCTATTACAGATGCAGTGTGTTTATTACAGGATTTTATTGTCTTTATTTAGATGTAAAAGTAACTAAATCTTAAGGGCTGGTTATACTCCCGCAGCAGTGTGTCGCAGTGAGCTTGTCGCAGGTATAACGCAGCTATTTTTGATTTATGCCCAATATTGAAGCGTGGTCTGTGCTGTTATTATACGCCACAATGCAAGCGGGAGAATCGCAAATTAGCTGTTGGTCTAGATACGGCCGAGGTGGTTGGGAAGTGGAAAACATGAGGACATGAGGACATGAGGGCAAAAAAGAGTGGGGATCCAGGCGGAAAAAGGGTCCCAGCGTTCTCACACACCTCGCTGTTCTAGCTGGTCTGTCTTCACGAGTCGTTTTCCACAATGGCGGTCATACAAACAAAACAAGCTGCTAAGGTACCAAACAGGAAATATATGTAATCTGGAGTGGATGTAGATTTGACCAATTGGAGGCCTCCTGTCTGCGGCACTGTCTGAGCTCACCTACAATTTTGGAGAGGTGCATCTTAAGGCGTTTCTCAATTCACAAGAACGCGAGTATGTACTCGCGTTCTCGTCAAGTCCTTTCTTGGCGAGAACGCAGGAAGATCAGACTTGACGAGAACGCGAGCACGCAAGCACGTATGTGTATTGGAGCAGAAGCGTACTCGTGACGTCATCACAGGCAATGTTGTTTAGCATTTCTTTAACAGTCAAAACTATTTATTCCCTACACAAAACATTTTGAAAACAATATTTTTAATTTCTAAAGCTTAAAAAACATTAAAAAAAATTACCGAACCGCAAAAAAACGCCATCAGAACGAGCGGTAGTTCACACATAACTAGACCGAGAGAAGTGCACTACAGACGGGGTAACATTAGCCGTGGCTGCGGTTACCTTCGGAGGTCTGCTGGTCACTCTGGTCCGCTCAACCTCGGACTTTTTTTTTTTATTTCGCACTAAATCTATAAGCAGACCACACAGGGAGGCTTAAATGTATAATGTTATCGCCTCAAACGATTTCAAAACGTACTTTTGAAGAACAACAGCAGCAGAAAAGGGAATGTTTAACTTAACACTGTGAGCGCTGTCTCGAATCAAGCTGCTGCCGTGGGGCATTCTGGGGAAGCGGTCAGTCTGAAGAACGCACAAGTCTGCTCTGATGCATGCTCGATAAAGAGGGCGGTGCGAGAACAACATCCGGGGATTTGATGCGTTCTCGATCTGGCGTTCTTGAGAATTGGAACGGTACTCGGGCTGAGGCTGATGACGTGTCACGAGTACACGAGCACACGAGAACGCTCAAGAACGCATATTGAGAAACGCCCACAGTGTCTGCGGAAGGGGCGGAGCTTATCTGTTTTAACTGTGACACACATACAGATGACCTGGCTTCTGAGCATAAACCAGCGGTTATGTTAAAAATGGAGCCACTTCAGCTGTTTGCTGTAGATGTCTTGATTTTCTTGGTCCACTTTACATTCAGAAAGGTTTAAAATAGAGATGTCAGCGCCTCTTTATTATTTGCCATTGTTGCTCATATCACATAGTTCAATACAATCACTGCTGCACTTTTCTGTTAATGGATCAGAAGGAGCAGCTGAAGGCGTTTCTCGGTGCCAAAGACAAAGAGGAAGGAGGCCGCAGTCCAGAGACTGTCAGAGTTCAGCTGCGGAGTGCTTTGGTCAGTGATTGGTTGCAATGACATTTCAGATTTAAAAGCTTGGAGGATTTGACTTTATCATCCATGTTTGCTTTCCGTAATAGATCTGTTTTTTTTAATATATTGCTGATAAAATACAGATTATGCTACATTTCTTTAAACAGTATTCTGTCTTTAAGGTCTATAACATCTTAAATAATGTTCACTCTCTATATTAACAGGGGGAGTACTCAGGCCAGTCTGTTATCAAAGGTCAGACTCTTCTTTCTAATGAGTGAAATAAATTAACATTAGTTTATCTAAACATCTTGAGAGTTAACATAGTATTGGTGTCGTCCTGCAGGAAAAGAAAAAGTTTTAGTCAAGCAAGCTTACAGTCTGGATCTTAATCACGTAAGTTTTCATTTGCTTCCCGGGCTTAAACTAAGCATCCTCTAATATAGTCGGGATTATGTACTAATAATAGATATACAGTTTTTTCTAATCATTTTTGTCTCGGTGTTTCTTATATGTCTGATTAACACCACAATTACTTCATTAATTGCTTATTGTTATCTTGGAAAGCTTGGCGGGCTGAGGGCATAAATGAAGCTGCTTGTTACAAATTAGCATAAACCTGCATCAGGTTGTATTGTGTAAACACAAAGAAATAACTCTTTACAATACTGAATTCAACATGTATTCATGCGTCCTTTAATTTCCTGCTTTCTTTGCTGAAATGAATTATATGTTAGCTTATTTTCATAGAATGAACCTGGTTGGATACAAGATGCAGAAAAATAACAACAAAAACAAATTTGACCATTTTGTGGATGTTTTTTTTTTTTTTTTAGATGCCACAGAACCCGCCTGTTTCCAGACAAGTCCAGAGGAGCCAAACTGCAGGAGGCCGGGATCTCCCTGAAGCTGAAGTCCTTCGACGTGAACTGGAGACGGTTAGAAGAAAACTGCAGTCCACAGAAGAGGAGAAGGCCCAGCTTCAGTCTGCACTGAGCCAGAAGAACAGAGAGTGCCAGGAACTGTCCCAGAACAGAGACACCATCCAGAAACAGGCTGACCTGCAGGTTCAGGAGCTGGAGGACGCTTTGGGAGACGTCCAGAAGAGGATGCTGGACTCTGAGTGTAAAGTCAAACAGCTGCAGGCTCATGTTGTTGCTGTAAAAGAACACCTGGGGGCCCAGGCGGCCGAAGATCTGCGAGCGCAGCTCCTGGACGTGAAGGCCAAATACGAAGGCGCTTCAGCCGAAGTGGGGCGGGTTCGTAACCGCTTGAAGCAGAGCGAGAAAGCCTTAGAGGAATACAAGAGCAGCGAGAGCCAGCTGGCCGCAGAGAGCGAGCGGCTGAGCCAGGAGCTGGGAGCTCTGAGCGCAGAACGAGACCAACTGGCTGAAGCTCTTTTAAAGATGGAAACCCGCCTGAAGGAGGCTCAGAACAAGCAGGCAAACACCGTCCCAGCAGAGAAGTTTGACAACATGAAGAACCTGCTGACCAATGCAGTGGATGAGAAGGAGCGGCAGCTGGCCGAGCTGAGGGAAGACTACGACCGCGTGCTGGAGGAGGTGGCAGAGCTCCACCGCAGGCTGGACAGCCCGTCATCCCAGGGAGTGTCTCCAGAGGGGCATCAGCGAGTAGTTTCTGGTCTGGAAGAACAGAACGTCGCTCTGAAAAGGAAGCTGATGGACGTGACTGCAAAAAGTCAAACTCTTATCGAAGAGGTGGAGGAGAGTGAAGAGGAGAGAGATGTGCTAAGAGAGCAGCTGGACGAGCTCAACAGCAGGATCGAGAATGAGTTTATACCCCTGAAGGAGCATGAGGAGGTTCAGAACAACATGGTGGTGGCTCTGGAAGAGCTGAAGGACAGACTTGTGGAAGCCAGCGAACGTTACGGGAAAGCTGAGGCTCAGCTGCAGCAGCTTCAAGCCGAAAAAGCCTCGTTACAGGAGACGATGAGCGACAGGAACCAGAGGGAGCTGGACGCTCTGATGGAGCAGAATACCCAGCTGAAAAAGGACATTGAACTACTGCAGAAGAGATGCAAGGATGGAGAAAAGGAACGAGAGGAGTTGACTCTACAGAAGCAGGCTCTGCAGCGCAGGGTGGAGGAGCAGTTTGTTCCCAGGCAGCAGCATGAGAAGGTGAAGATGGAGTTAGGTTCAACCTTAGAAAGTGTTAAAGCTGAGAAATTGAAGTTGGAGGCAAAGGAGAAAGAAAGTGTCGAAGAGCTAAAGAATGTGAAAGATGGAAACGAGAATCTGAAAAAGCAGCTGGAAAGAGTTTTGTTGGAGATGAAGAAAGAGTGTATTAGTCTGAAGGAGCACAGAGCTGTCACAGATGAGCTGAAGGCCGCCACCGACGCGGCAGAAGAGCGAGCAAACCAGGCATCGGTCCTGCATGCTGCGGCTCAGGAGGAAGTACTGAAGCTCACTCAAGAGCTGGAAGCCCAGAAGAAAGAACTAGATACCATACAGGAAGTTATTCAGTCCAAGTTTATCCCACTGACTGCAGCCACGGAAAAGGAAACCACCTACAGCTCTCAGGTGAAGGAGCTGGAGCAGAAACTGATGGAAATGGAGGAGAAGTATCACAAAGAGAGGTCGACCTGGGAAAGCATGCAGCAGGAGAAAGAAAAACTTAAAGTAGAAACTGAATCTGTTCAGCAGAGACTGAACTCTGCTCTGGTTAGCACTGAAAAGCATAAACAAGTGGAGGAAGAGTTCAAGTCTAAATATGAGGCCGTTACCCAGAAGCTGGCCAGCTTAGAGCAACAGCTTCAGGAGGTGACGCTTCAGAAAGCCGAGCTGCAGGACCAGAACGCTTCATGCAACACACAGATCCAGAGTCTGCAGGAGCGTCTGAAATCTGAGCTGACCCGAATAGCCACCTACGACACAGAGCTGACGACCCTCAACGATCTCATGCGGCAAACTCAGGCCGATTGCAAGAAAGCGAGAGAGGCCCAGCAGGAGGAGGCTAAGAGGGTCGCTGTCCTACAGAAAGAACTTCAAGAAATCCGCAGGGAACACACGTCACTGCTGCAGCAGCACAGAGAGACCAAAGAAGCCCTGGAGGCCGAAGTCGCTAAGCTTCAGACGTCCCTTCAAGAGGAGGAGGAGAACGGCGCTCAGAGAGCCGAAGACGTGAGCGCCCTGCAGTCCGAGCTTCTGCAAGCCACGCAAGCGCTGCAAGACATCCGCCACAAGGAGGACCAAATGAACGAGCTGAAGAAGGAGAAGCAGCTGCTGCAGGAGGAGGCCGCCAGCCTGAGCAGCAAGCTGCTGAGTTTAACAAAGGAGTGTCAAGAGGCCCATCTGGAGGTGAGACAAGCCAGAGAGGGCGAGAGCAAGGCCAGAACCGACATGGAAGCCGTCCAGGAGAAGGGCCGCGGCATCGAGAAGGAAATCAGGGAGCTGAAAGAGCGGTATGACGAGTCGCTCAGCACAATCTGTGATCTTCAGAAAAGGATCCAGTCATCAGCTCAGCAAACTGAAACCAAAGACAAGAAGGTACCAAAATACTCACTGCACACGTCTGCACTTTTTCTGCCTGATGATACCAGTTTCTACAGATACAGGGGCTTAAATACCGGTTCAAGAAATAAAATATATTGTGTTGGTAGATCACAGAGTTACTGACGGATGTGGAGCGACTGAAGCAGGCCCTCAATGGTCTTTCTCACCTGGCGTACACAAGCAACACCCCAAACAAGAGACAGACACAGCAAGTTGATGCACTGCAGGCACAGATCAAGAGCCTTCAACAGCAGCTGGCTGTAAGTTCATTTTCTCATTACGTCTATGACTGGGCAGTAAACCAATACTTCAGTAGAATTACTCTAAAGTAATAGTTATTCATTTATTCACATTATCGATCTTTGCTGTTTACTCCCTTCAGTTCAGATGAGAATATTTCAGCTGGCTTTCAATGCAGAAAAATTGGAAATAAACAGTAGAAGTTAAATATACTTCAAAGTTTGGGTTTCCAAACTTCACATTTTAAACAAAATTTCGTTTGTATAAGCTCTATGTATACAAAATAACAATAAAAGTTGTTTAAGTCTAATAATAAAAAAAACAATTTAGAGGAATAAAGAGCTTTTCACTTTAATTTATATCACAATGTCCAATTTCTTAATTTTTTGTCTTCCATTTCATTTATTATTTTATTCTTTGTTTCTAACTGGATTAATTTCAAATTAAAAGTATGCTGGTGGACAGGCATTGCTATCTGGATTATCCAGTGTTAATATTTCCAAGTATTCTGTATATTTCCATTGTAGGTTGTAGGTATGTGTCCTGATACTCTGGCGTAGCTCCAACTGTTGCAGAGATTTTGATGCTGCAGTTTAGTCCTGAGTATATGAGCTGCTGCCTCAGACATCAAAGCAACTTCATGTCTTTCATGTTTTGTCCCCCCCATAAGGATGCTGAGAGGCAGCACAGAGAGGTGGTTTCCATTTATAGGACTCATCTTCTAAGTGCAGCACAGGTAAGTTGTCCTCGAACCTCTGGCTCCAAAAGTCGTTGTGAGTTCCTCCTTTTCCAAAACACTTGGTATTTTATGTCACATTCCATGTCACATGCTATGACTAGGAGTTTCTACGCCTGTAGCCCTTTCTGGTTACCTACAAAAGGCTTTCCGATCAAATCAAGGCAACCTGTTGGCTTTTTATATTTCATTTCTGTTTTGAGGTTCGTTCACAACAAACTTGAAATTCACAGCTGGCAGCGAAGGATTTCCATGTTATCTCTATGTAGATGGCGGCTATGGAGAGCAGCGAAGCGAATGTTGCAAATTTGGCAAAATTTGGTAGCTTCTGCACCTGCAAAGTATGTGAAGAGAATTTCGGGGAGGTGGACATTTTGTTACATTTTATTTGTGAAATGCAATCTGTGACTAGATGTGGCTGGTAGCCACAGTGAAGGAAGCGGTTAAGATGAGCTTTCTTATTCAAGATGGAAGACCGGGAAAATGATAATGACAAAGAATAAAGTGGAGAATGGATAATAATCATATAATTGAACTTAATTGATCTAATATTGGAGAAATTTACCTCTGCATTTAACACATCCTCTTGGGGAGCAGTGGGCTGCCATTGTGCGGCGCCCTGGGAGCAGTGTGGGGTTAAGGGTCTTGCGCAAAGACCCAGAGTGGAGACCGTGGGGATCAAACCGGGTACTTGCAACGTTCTAAGAGCACAAGCACACCATGCTCTATTCACTTGGCCAACACTCCCCCTGACTCCAATAAAGCTCTTTAGAGCTGTGAGGGTGGAGCCTTTTTCTGTGGCAGTGCGAATTGCTTTAGCTGGGCAGGAGAATTTCAAGGCTAGAAAAAGCAGGAGAAACTGGGGAAATTTTTAGCAGGTTTCCTGTTTGTTAAAAAAGCAACATTACTCCCTGATTAGGGTCCATTTTCTGTTAACTTAAGGGCTTTTTTGTATTTGCATTACAAGATCAGGTGACCAGAGGTATTTATTATAAGTAAAAAAGGAGATAATGCAGCCTAGCAAGTTAACATTTCCTCTATGGAGGTTTTAAAAAAGAGGAAAAGTCATAAAGTGTAAGAAAACATAAAAAAAAAACACTGGATGCCAGGGAGTTTAATACATAAGTAGTGCTTGTTATACAGCTGTAGATGTTTACTGAAGTGGGAGCAAAAGATGTGGAACCTGCCAAGTGACTGATGTGAAAATACGTTTATTAAAATACGTGAAAATGCTGATTGTGCTCCGGTGCAAAATTCCTTCTCGGACAAAAAAGGACGGAGTAAACATTATTTTAACGCACATTTTGTTTTTGCTGTTTTGGATACAGGCTTGGTAACTGACTAAGTGATTTAAATCAACTTTATTGATCTTTATGTGTTTTTAAGTGAACCTGATTGTGTCTTTCAGGGCCACATGGATGAGGACGTCCAGGCTGCTTTACTACAGATCATCCGTATGAGACAGGAGTTCGTCTGTTAAAGCCGCCAAAAAAAAACAACTCTACCTGCTCGCGTTTATCTTCTCATATTTCTCATCTTTCTTTGCATATCATAATGTATAGGGAAAAAGAAGGAATGGTTTCCACTTCTAAAATCTGTTCATCTGTAGCGTCTCTGCACCTTCATTCTTGGATATTTTCACGTGGGAGCTGTGGACACAGATTAGGAACAAATACTTGACTGCTACAAATCTTCACTGTTGTTGTCAAACTCAATGCATTAATGTAGAAGACATTACCAAAACAAATCAGTTCCAGCTTCAAGATTCATTGTTGTAAAACCATTTCAAACAGATTGTGCAAAGCAGCAGCTTTGACCCTTTTCGTTCAGTAATGTGGAAGTTATTTGAAATGTGGGTTTGTTTGGTTTTTTTTGTTTTTTTTTTTTTTATTGTTGTACATGACACACTCCTAAATGCTCAGCTGAAATGAAAACTGGACATGATCGCAAAGACCACTCTCACATTCCCACCTGACAGTCAACATTGCAGAACGTTTTCAACTTTTCATAGAAATGTTGCTAGAATTTTAAAGGACAGCTTCATATTTAAATGATTTACCATCAGATTTTTCCTTCTGATTCTATCTTCCACTCAGAAGATACAAATGAGAAGATTAGGTGTAAAATGTAAAGAGGATCAATTAACCTAGATGCTTTAATAAACAGTCTAAACTATGGATGTAAAATAGTCAAATGCATCATTATAGACCTCAGTTTAAATTTAAAATTTCAAAATTAGATTGACATGTTTGTTTTTTTATGCAAAAAAGAAAATTCTGTGGGTATTTAAAATCTGAAGGAAAATTGATTCCTGTTATTTGTAGATTTTACCAACAATATCTGCATTATTGCCCTCAGTGTAACTCCAAGGTTCCTTAGAAACCCTTAAGTCTTTGGATAAGTGCAGAATCTGCTTTGGCATTTATATGATAGAGATAAATAAGAACAATTTTAGAAAATGTATGAATATTCAGACTCCTTTGTATTCAGGTGATCCTTAAAGATGTAAAAATAGTGCCATTGTTTGATATATGTACGTAACTAATATCAGGCTTTATTTTACTTGGATCATGAGATTTAACAACTTAGCTTTAATTTGGTTTTTAACACCTTCTAAACTTACATTTGATGTAAGGTGTTACATCAAACGTTTAAACGCAATCTCTGTTATTGGTTTAAAGCAGTTGCACTGCTGCTACTGAAAGCTAACCTTAGCTTAAAATCGTGGCAAGGTTTAATAATAATATCTGTTGTACAAAAAAATTTCTAGAAGATAAAAAAAATGCCTGAAAACAAAAGAAATTTGAGTCTGTAACATTGGTGGGTTCTGAAAATGGAAACTTATAGGAATCTTGTCAAAGGGGAACATTGACCTCTTTTTAGCTATTAGAGCGAGTATTTATTTTTTAACAGTCCGCCTCTTAAAATGGAATACTGAGGAATAACAGCTGCATTTTGATCCAGAAAGAATGACTACTTTCAGCAAAATCAGGCCTCACTGTCTGTAGCTAAGATGCATTTAGAAATGTGAATCTGTCCTTTTAAAGAATCTCCTCAGTTGTGCATGTTATCTACTTTCTATGAATGAGACTCTACAGCTACCGAATCCTGGAGGTCCAAACTCAGAGTTGTTGTTGATGTAAAACTACTACAGAGTTGGTGAATTCATGTCCATCAAAAGGACAACATGAGGCTTTGTGTTGGTTGTATGCTGGGTTTGAGTCTGCAGATCTGTTGTTTCCTCAAGTTTGCAGTGAAATGTCCACTTTTTGTTGAAACCAGAGTGCCCTCTAGTGGTAAGACTTGGCAGGCCAAGTTGATAGAAGTTGTAAGCATTGCCACTCAGGGGTATTCTGTTGTTACAGTTTCTAAGTTGCATGCTCAAACCTAAAAAAAAAGGAAGATTAATTCAATTTGGTCAGATGAAAATATAAAACCTGATACATAATTAAATCTGTGATTTAAATCTTGACTTGAATATTTATCTCCTGCAGCAGTGAACTCATTAGCTGTCCTAAAGCAGCAGGTACCCCTGGGCCAGCTTTGTGTGACTCCTGATGCTGTTGTGTCGTGCTGTTGTGATTTCTGAGCGAGTCTCTAATGCCTTTACACTGATTATATTTTTCATAGCTTTGTACTACTTTAAGTACTTAACAGTCTGACAAATCTGATATTCAGCAGGTCTGGAAGTAAAGCGGCACAAACTTAACCCAAGGAGGACATTTCTTTAGATTTGAAGAGGTGTGTTTGTTTATGCAGAGAAACTCTCCTCTTAACACTCAGTTATGTGAAGCACTCCTGTCTTCATTTTTCAGCTTAATCTAATTAATAATAATTGAAAATAATAATTGAACATCCTTGATCTTACAAAGGAGAAATTTACTTCTGCATCTTAACCAATCTTTTGATCTAATCCGTAATCTTTTTGTCCTTCAGGTTTAACGGTGACACTTTTGTGTTCTGTAGGTTTAAAGGTCTAACACTAAAGTTTTTTACATACTGTTATTTGCTAAAACACTACAAACCCAATCAGTATACATGTCTACAGAACTGTACTGTTGAACCAGTGTGATGAAACTGGGTCATTATCTTTATTAACAATTTCTGTTTGTTGAACATTCATACAAAGTCAATAAAAGTGCCTAACATAGAAAACTACATGCTTGTCCGTGCCTCATGATGTTAAAGTGATCATAAGTTTTTAAAGGTCTGATAGTTTTAGATGGAAAATTAGACATGCTGGTCATTTCAATCCTTTACAAAATTCACTTTTGCTTTTTTTTTAATCTTCTTAGTTTAATGCTTTTTAGACAAAGTGAAGCCAGCTGCTCAGGGATGTTTGATGACATCTTTGACCACTGATTCTTTGATTTATTTTTATTTTTTGGATTTATAATCATGTTACTTTTCTGTGAAGAAAAGGAAACGAAAGACTCGATTAAGTGTCTGCCTGCCTGAGGGAAAAAAAGTACAATCCCGGGAAAGAATTATGAAATCATCGTTCACTTAGTTTAATTTAGTAGAAAATAAGCAGTTCACAGACATGACACAAAACTAAAGTCATTTCAAATGGCAGCTCTCTGGCTTTAAGAAACACACACACAAAAAAATAAAAATAATATATCTCAAGGGGGGAAAAAATTAATTGTAACTTATTTTTTTTTGACCAAGCAGAGGGAAAAAAATATCAAATCACTGAATTCTATGGAAAAAAAAAAAAATAATGGAATCATGAAAAACAAGAAGACTCAAACACATCACTGGTATTTCGTTGAACCAACTCTGGCTTTTATAACAGCTTGCAATCTCTGAGGCATTAACTTAATGAGTGACAAACAGGACTCTACTCTTCATCAATCTGGCTCCAGCTTTCTCTGATTGCTTTTGCCAGATCAGCTTTGCAGGTTGGAGCCTTGTCGTGGACCATTTTCTTCAACTTCCACTAAAGATCTTCAATTGGATTAAGATCCAGATTATTTGCAGGCCATGACATTAACATTATGTGTATTTTTTCAATATTATTTTTTGAAAAACGATTTCATCATCCCCAAACTTTCTGTTAACTGATAAGAGAAGAAAAGTGTCCAAAATCCAATGTAAACGTTTGCATTTATAGAAGATGTAATGAGGTCCCCATATCATCATTGTGGAAATGTGCATGTCCTCTTCAGGCATTCCTCTTTATAAAGTCTCATTGGAACGGCACCAAACCATAAGATCCAGCATCATCACCTTGCCCAATGCAGATTGGGCATTCATCACTAAATATAACTTTCATCCACAGTCCATGATTGCTTTTCCTTAGCCCATTGTAATCTTGTTTGTTTCTGTTTAGGTGTTAATTATGGCTTTCGTTTAGCTTTTTTTTTATGTTAATCCCACTTCCTTTAGGCGGTTTCCTACAGATCGGTCACAGACGTTGACTCCAGTTTCCTCCCAGTCAATCGTCATTTTTGTTGTTGTGCATTTTCGGTTTTTGAGACGCATTGCTTTAAGTTTTCTATCTTGGCGTTTGACGTCTTCCTTGGTCTACCCGTATGTTTGCCTTTAACAACCTTCCTATGTCATTTGTTTTTGGTTCACAGCTGACTGTGAAAAACCAACATCTTTTACAACATTGCCTGATGATTTACCCGCTTTTGTGAGTTTGATAATCCTCCTTTGTTCCAATTGACATCTCTCGTGTTGGACCCATGATTCATGTCAGTCCACTTGGTGCAGCCGCTCTGCAAAGAGTGATCTCTCCTTTTTAGATGCAGACTAACGAGCAGATCCCATTTGATGCAGGTGTTAGTTTTAATTTAGTGATTAAATAATTTTCCCCCCTCTGCTTGGTCTAAAAAAACTAACAGTTACTGTCTATCACATTTTATTTTCTTGATTTTTTATTTTTTGGTGTTTCTTAAAGCCTACAAAATGAAACAACTGATGAACATCCTCTGAGGCCGGTGATTCCATAATTTCTGCCAGGGTTTGCAATGTTGGACTGATAAGGAGACATCACTTCAATGAGACTGAAATAGGCTTCAGAAGCCCAATCTGTTAAATTAAAAATGTTCTCAAAAGAGTAACTTTAACTAAAATGAAATTTGGTACCTGGTCTTTTTTTTACATTTCTTTTTACAAAAAGCAGTAAGTTAGACCAGGCATGCCCAAAGTCAGTCTTCGAGGGCCGCTGTCCTGCATGGTTTTGAGGTTCCCCTGCTTTAGCACAGCTGATTCTGATGATTGCATTTCAGCAAAATCCTGTCAATAAGCTATCTATGATATCAGGGAGCAGGGAAGCCTGTAAAACCTGCAGGACAGCAGCCTTGGAGGTCCGACTTTGGCCATGCCTGAGTTAGACCCACTTATACTGTTTTTTCTTTTTCTAAAACTAGATGTCAGGATCAGTAATGTCATTTTGTTGTAGTAACATGGAGCTGGTGACATAAGGCAACTGATCATGGTTAGATTAAATCTTATTTGTATCTTTATCCTATTGTTTTCCTCTAAATTTTTTAAAATCCAATTCTAAATTTAAAGATATTTAGTTTCAGCTCATCATTGGTTTCAGGAGGTAATTTCAAAACAATAGAGCATGGTAGAGGTTTCTGAAGAGGATAAGGGCAGACTGGAATAGCTAGATGACATTTTGAATAGCTCTAGTGATCACTCAGAGGCACGACTGCTGCAGAGAAATGAGTTGCAGGAGACTAGAAGCCTAATCCTCAGAAGGTTGGCTTCTTCAAACAAGTGCATGTTTGTAGAGCAGATCTTTTAAGAGATTTGTGTTTGCAATCAGCAGATGGCATGTGTTTCCCCCCCCATCTCTTCATCAATATGTAGATCATATGAAAAAACCGTGCAAATTGATGGACGGAAGATATACATATGTAAACTTTTACCACGTGCAAAGCAATTTTACAAATTGAATGCAGCTATAGTTTGCAAATAACAACAAATTACCGAATTTGGCTATTGCATGTTTATAAAGAGGATATCAAAATATCCTTTCAAGAGACATGGGGGTGTCAAAATGCACAGCTGTTATCACACCTGAGATTTTTTTTTCTCTCGATTAAATAAAACATAACCATGCACAGATCATGGCTGTGTTTTATACCTTTGCACCTGCTTTAATTAATTTATATTTAAGTTTAGTTTCCTTAATTGATTTTAGAGATAGGTTATCCATGTAAAGTGTAAATCTTATTTGAATATATTTATCTCCATCTACATGGCTTAGAACCTCATCTTTCTTTTATGACCACTCTCAAACTACTTGTAGAACAGGCCTTTTACTCATTTTAATGGGAGGAACCATATAGGTTTGCATACCTTATTTGTGCAGCAATTTTTGTGAATCACCGCAACACACTCAGTCGTAAAAAACGAACAATAAAAACCCAACAATAAATTGCATGTGCAGTTTAGCCTTAGGAGCATCCTTTGGTGGGGTCCTGTATTGAAATCCGTTTGAAATCTCTGGGAAGAGTAAAGGTTCTACTGATGCTGTCCGTCCAACTAGGGCAATCGAGTGGATCTAGTGAGAAAATCCCACAAATCAGGAGAGCTAAGGTTGTTCGTAGCATAAGACATGAGGCAGACACATATGTCTTTCAATGCAATGCTACTCTACCATATGGGAGTTAATGTATTTTTAAAGATGGATTTACCAAAAAATGTCTTAAAACATGCTTAAATTAGGGACTATGGAATGCTTTTGTGTTTTTTTTCCCCATGTCTTACTGTATTGTTTTTTTTTTTCTTAAAACAATATTTAGCAGCAGTGAAATAAATCTTTGACTATAGTGTTGATGTATCTGTAGCTGTGGATGACCTACAGCTGTTGTAGGGTTAGTGCGTGCTGACGTCAGCTTGCCTTTAGCTCCTCATGGCAGCGGCGGTTCGGTTCATGTGGTTTCACTTTAAGTCCAATCAACCCAGGAATGAGCGTGAGGATCTCTCTGGCGTAAGGCTCCCACTTTTATCTCAAAGCCTGCGCCTTTATTGATTTGTCTGTCTCTTTCTGACTTCAATAGATTTATTTTTCATTAAAACTGTATTCAGTAGCTGCAGAGATCAAGTTGGTATCAATTCTACCAGATAAAGATGTTTCATTTCCAAAGTTCATATTTTATTGATATTGCAGGTAGTCAGACTGAGACCTAATCCATCTGTTGTTTCATCCTGTCTTCAGACATGCACATATCCTGTAATTGATGCAATCCTGAGTTTCTTTCAGCTAAGCACCTCCTCCTCCTTCCTCTGTTTTTGTGGTCTGCACTGAATAAGCTGTTCTCAGCAATCATGGCAAATACATTTCAATCTGTTGGTAGAAATCTCTTTAATCTTATTTCCAGCGTTCTAATCAGTCCCATGCAGCCACTTGCGGCTGTTTGGTTAACCAATGTAACCCCTTTTATCCTCACCACAAAAAAAAAAAATCTCCTCTTTATGAAATTTGTCGCCCCCAAAAAGGATCAGACAGTATTAATGTTGGATTGAGTCCTGGCCGTCCGCTGCCTGCCTGCTGAGTGCTGAGCTGGCTGGGGAGCCAGGCGGGTGGTTATATACACATCAAACAAACGCCCACGTATGTCCTCGCGGTCCTCAGAGCTGTCATGAACATTTGTTATCTCACGCAGCAGTCTTCCACCTCAGTGGCTGCTCATTTCTCTCCCTACGCTCCGTCTCTGGAGGAGCAGCTGTGGTTCACTAGTCATAAAGACACTTAGGGCCTTTCTGCATGTCTGGATTGAGATAACTTTTGGTTGTCACTACGCTACATGTTAAATATGACGCTTACACTCTGATCACCTGAGATAAAAGTGCTCCTGTTCCCAGTGGGACTCTTGCAAGGCCAGATAAGCTGCTGTCACAGTTAAATAAGCATTTTCACACCTTTGAAGCTGAATACTTCTAAAACTCTCCCTGATCCAAATGTTCACCATAATGAGCAACAATACCAGAACAAGGTAAAGTACATTTTTGAGCTGGGGGCCTCATTCGAAGATGAGAAGCAGGCCTTGGACTCTGATAACCTTTTCTTCATCACCAGATGGTTTTTATTTTACAGCTTGGAGTCTTCATCACTTGAAGCAGTTTAGAATTTCTGCAGCTTTTCCTTCAACCACAAAAGCCCTCGTCTAACTCCCCACAAATGATCATTTCCT